TTCCAATATTAATTTGAATAAAGGGGCAAAATGTGCCAACATTTTAGCTGGCAGACTAGAGCTAACCTGGGATATCATAAAATGAAGTTACAGGCTTAATGCACAGATTTACTCTAGGGGATCTCTTCCTCATCTGATCAACAAGTAGCTTTCGTTCTTCATCTTTCAACAATGTAATGAAAAGCTCATGTGAAGAAATCATGAAAACATACTGTAGATCTNAAACCTAAAGTTTCATGTGGCTACACAAATTTGAACTTAACTGGTTCTCAAATACCAGTTACTGCCCAGTTATAAGATATGCAGAACAAATACAAAAAGATAAATAATAAAAGATACTTTTTTCACAGGACTAAGTTCAAAGTTTAAAAATAAAAGAAACATACTTACTTTAGAAAAGCAGCCATATTTCCTTTCAAAGACTCTGAAGCTTTTTCTAAATTTATTGATCTCGCACACACCTAGGAATTTGAGTAATGTTCATTTGACTTAAGTCCTTTAAAAAAATGTTGATTATAATCTGAAAAGTTTACAGATAAAAACAACTGAATTTTCCCGTTTCAACCATATACCAACCACAGATTTGGTTAATTAATTTAAGAAAAGAAATGAGACCCTGGAATAACAATCCATTATAGACAGGGAGTAGAATGTGACTATTTTAATAACTGCAGGTATTTATATGTGTGTGTGTGTGTGTGTGTGTGTGTGTGTGTGTGTGTGTGTGTGTGTGTGTGTGTACCGTGTGCTAATATATACACTACAGAGTTCTCTCAGAATTTATAAGTATGTTGCGAAATTGTACGAAGTGATAAACTTTAGGAATGAGTAGCTCCTGTAAGTGAGAGTTTTAAAGAATGATCAATAACTAAATTCTAATTAATATAGAACCAGTGGTTAAGAAGGTAACCAAGGTTTAAAAATAGTGAAAACAAAGAATAACTGAAACTAGTCATGGTAATATTCGTTATCTACAAATAATATTTTTATAACATTATTCTGAATTTATTCATTAAATTAGGATTCCTCCCCATATTGTATTTACAAGCCAAAATAAAGTATTAGTGTGAAAGTCCCCGACCTCAAAAAATAGTCAAATATTCTTTATGTTGACACAAAGAAATACAGAATGTTCAGATCCCTATACCAGCCAGCTGCCAAAAAAAAAAA